ATTCATTTTCATTAATATTGTAACTCCTCATTCATATCACTCTCCATTCATGGCATTAAAGGGCTATCACTCTCCATTCATGGCATTAAAGGGCTGGCTCTTCCTCTATGGCTATAAATAGTGGAGCTCTCAAATGGAAGAATACACAACAAAACAACAACAAGTGATTACAACCACAGACACAACCCTACTGTTCTTCTTTTTCCATTTCCGGCAGCTTGGTTGTTTCCTTCTTCCTTTGTTAAATTCTTTGAGAGATAGACACGGTGAGTTCGTAGATCGGTAACGTAGTGCAACGTGGACCGATAACCGATTGTATCCTGGGAATCGAACACCGAACAAAAACCTCGTGCACCCCGGTGAGGCGGCGAATTCGATTTAAGGAAATCGTGTGAACACGGGCTTTCGGTTTGATTAATGATTTACTTTGATTCACCTTTATTTTTCCCTACAGTAACTGCTTTTCATATAAAACTTTTCTGCCATTCATAAAAGAGCTAAAAAAAATTCAGATTTGAAAATCTGGTTTTGATATTCGGGTTGGATCCAAATGCAATTTAGAAAAAGCAACAGTATTAAGGGCTCGAATACATGGTGATAGTACTGCGCTTCTGACTGTCCCCTAGTCGAGGCAATTCTTAGTTCTGAAAAATTTTAAGGGACAAAAATATACACAACTGATGTAGCTGAAAGGATTCTGAGCAGGAAACTAACTTCTAAAAGAAGTATTTCAATTCTCTTTTCCATGCAAAGAAACAGACGCTCACTATCCTTCAACAGGTGGAGATATAACTCTGATACATTGTATAATTCATGACAACAGAAGCAACAAACATAATAATCTGCTGAGAATAAACAAAGTGCATGTTTGGACTGGCTTAACCTATAAGTAGATAAAAAGAGTTGTGGAGATTTTCGGGAGCCCTACGGAATTTGTGAATAATAAGTATGTAGTCATTGGGACTAGTTGCGGGTTTTATGAAATGTTTGTTTAAAATTACAACAGAAATAATGAATAAAACCTACCAATACGTGCAAACGTCCTCCAACATGACCAAGAGGCTGTAAGCAGACAATGTGTAAGGGAATGGTTGACGAGTCCTGGTTATGAGAAATTTCAGTCACACACTGTTGGCTGTGCATAAAGTGTGTTGCCTGTAGATTGTGATTAATACGACTTTGATGGCTCTGATGTAGAGGATGAAATTGGACCTGAAGTGGGATTCATTGCATATGTTGTTTTGTCGGAGTCTGCTCAGTATTCTGAAGATTTCAGATGACATACAAATAAAAAAGAATTAAGCAAGATGTACTTGGTTTACACCAAGGATGACATCCCCTAGATGGAATGAATCTGGATAATGATGAGATAGATGTGTTTAAAATTAATGGTGTAGATTGCTGACACATGGAAGAGTGTGAAACTCGCTATGAACTATAATGCACATGTAACATGATTGAATAAAATAAAAAATTTGAATGATGCTATTTGTACATCACCATTTCCAGATTGGTGAGACTGTTGGTAAACAAATATTTAATTTGTGATGTACATGTAGCACAACCGAAAAAATTAATATGCACAAGACAACAAGAATACTCAACTCAGAATAAAATCTATCAGAACTACAATACATGCATATGCACGTGTATAGTTTTAACCTGACTGAGTGTTGCACACTGAAAATGTCTCCTTCACAAAGATATATATGGCCTAAATCATATTTACCTGAACATCTATTGTCAATACTAAGATTGTAAGATTGACTGTGCACAAAACATTTTTTTTCTTCTGGATTTGTTTGCCCTACTTCGTAGCTCCAAAATAATCCGGTAAATCATCGGATATAATGCGTCTTGAAAGTTCATATTATCCATGTATCACAAGGTTTAATCGTTGATGTCATGTTTGGTGGAAAAAAAATAGCTCAACATTTGGTATTTCTTCAATAGTTTTTAGATGGGCCAGACAACTTTCTACAACCAAGAGGACACTTTGGTGTCATAAGATGTTGCTATTAACCAAGGTAATCTTTTTCAAGTCATTGAACACATTCCTTGAAAACTGCCCTAGTCATCCATGATATTTTGTTGGAATGACATTGACAAATCATATGGTTATTTTCACATTCTCAAAGAAACGGATTTTGCATGACTTTCAATTATCCATAAAGGATTTTCTTGTGAGCTATCTTCGTCACAACAGAGAACAATCCTAGTCTTTCTTTATCTTTCTCTTTTTCTTCAAGTTGTTTTGTTGCAAGGGAATGATCATGTTGTAACCTATATAACAATCCATTACGCCTCATCTCATGAGACAACAAGCATAGGCTACGTGATAGCCTACAACAAGCCTAATTAGGTCATAAACTTAGGTAGTCGAAGTGATGCATCACTTCAGCCGAGGTATCATGTAGAGGTCGACACTCCATGGTCTAGGCGAGTAGCCATAACTTACTGCAAAGTAGATTCAAGGTGATCGGCCTCTCTATGCGAGAAGGCATCTTCTCACTTCACCTTTTCAATGTGATTATAAAGGTTACCAATTTCAAAAATATGTGATTAAAATTAATTATTAACTTTTTTTAGCCGAACCCAACAAAGACTAAGCCATCCTCTATAATTCACTTCTTCCATGGGCGATTCTAATCAGAAAATAAGTTAGTTCATTCAAATTTCAAACCACGTCAGTTCTCTCTCATCAAAAGAATAGTAATCCATCCTCCATTATTGAGTTCGCTAGTACCCTAATTCTGAAGATATTTTCAAATTTTTTCTTCTATTATAATCAAATTTATTATCGTGAATAGGTAAACGAAAATTAACTCCATCCCCCGCCCAATTCCTCGGTTGGTGAAGCTGGCCTGGGAATTTCAAAATTTCAAATAGAAATGATTTTTTATTTTTTAAATTGAAATCTAAAAATGAAGGGTCTGTTCTCTTTGCCATTTTCAACCCATTTTCTGTTTTCGATTTTTCAAAACAGTGAAAACGCATTCTCTTTTCTATTTTCGAAAACGCATTTTTGAAAACGGATTGAAAATTTACAAAGAAAACACAAAACGACAAAATTGTCGTTTTGGATGTTTTCAGTTATAACTTGGCCAAAATTTCCAAAACATGTTTTCGTTGTTTTCAACCACCGACAACCACTGCACCACCACTACACCACCGGAACCACCACTGCACCACCGCCACCCAACCACCACTACACCACCGCCACCAAAATCACCACGAAATCCCCCCAACCACAGCCAATATCGCAGAAACACCACCGGAAAATCACCACTAGAAGTACCCCCACCGCCCAGCCAAATGACGACTAAACCACCGCAAAATCGCCACCAGAATCGCGACCCAATCACAGTCAAAATTGTGACCCAACTGCAACCAAAATCGCGATCCAATCGCCACAACCTAGACCCCCACCGCCATAGCCGAAAAATCACAACCCAACTGCCATAGACAAGACCCCCACCGCTACAACCAAAAAATTGCGACCCAACCGCCACCACAACCACCACCGCAGCGTCGCGGCCAAACCACAACCAAAATCGCCACAGCAAAAAATCACGACAGTGAGTTGCCACAGCAAAAAATCGCCGGTGAAGGATCTGAAGAAGAAGGAGACGATCAGACGAGTGGAAAAATAAAGGGGAGATAGTGGAGTGAGGAAGGAAGAGAACGAGAGAAGAGAGAGAGAGAGTTGGAGTGAGGAAGGAAAAGAACGTATTTTCATTTTCTAATTTTTGAAAACTATTTTTCAAAACGTCAAAAAGAACACATTTTCAAAAATCTCAAAATGAACACTCAAAAAACAAAACACAAAATGAATTCAAAACTCAAAACACAAAACTCAAACACAAAGAGAACAACACCGAAATGTTTCTTGGAAGGCAAGACCCAAAAAAATCGGTCTGATATGAAAGGATTTTTTTTTATTGAAATATGAGAATGAATAAATTATTACATATTAATAACGTGCATAATTCATTAAACCCAATCGAGTATTCTCCACTCTACTTTACCAAACATGTCATTGACTCATTAGAATACATAACTATGTACAAACACCAACAGGAGAAAACCAATGTATGAAAAGAATATGCTCTACTGACTGTTCAGAAGGAAAATTGAAAACTCTTCTCAACGCTACTAGTGAATTATGCTCTGTAATGGACATCTGCCAATGCCTGTAGCAAAAATATCTTGGGTGGAACAACTAGCATACGAGCGCCCATGATAGTCAACCTTTGTATATGATGTACTCGATATCTGTTTGGCCCTAGTTGGCGGAGCTTAAAAGCGCAGCTCCAGATGATTTTTCATCAAGCAATCTTCCAACCACAGGCTGCAAAATGAAACTCGGGTACTCTTTTCTGTTAATTCCCTGTTTGATGGCCATTATTTTGAAAAAATGATGTTTTGAATAGTGATTTTTTGGAGAGAGAGTGGTTAAAAAATAAGAAAAAGTTTTGGGTTTACGTACAAAATATTTTTTAGTGTAAATGTGTCGTTGAAAATGAGTATGAGTATGGCCAAGCATTACTCTACAAATAATCATTTTTTCGCATTTTGAAATAATGAGTGAAAATAAAATTTAGTAAACTATACCTCTTCAGCACTGACACTTGAAAGGAAAAATGGCTCTTTTTCTCGAATCCCACCATTGTCTGCAATAATTCTTTCGAGATCCTGCAGATATGAAGAACTCGTCAATATCGCAAAAAAGAAGGCAAAACGGAGCTCACACTTATTTTCATGGATTTCCCAAGAATTTGAACAGATTACTATAATGAACACCACCTCTGTGCATATAAACACACATGTACACATGTCTGCACATCCCTTCTCTGCATTTTCTTATTTTTTTAAATTATGCCCTGCATTCAGTCAGTAGAATAATTTAGGGATTTTCTTTGAGAATCACGGACACAGTGCATTAGGAGCATCCTTTCGGTTCATCTCTCTTGATCGTTTGAGATGTTCTTGGCATTCAGGTTCAATCACATAGATAATGAGACAGTTTAGCATTTTGTTTACAGAAAGAAGGCCTCAAATTGTATTCCAGTCATTTGGTGAAAGAAGGTTTGGAAAAAGACAGTGAAGATAAAGGATGTCGGAACATTCAATAAGTCGTAGTATAAACAAAGACCACACAGGATGGTCAGTAAAGGCAATGAGAAGACACGACTAAATATCTTTTTCATATTTACAACCTAACACTGCAAGAATAAATCCCCTTGACCCATAAAGAAAATAAGTTTACGAAGATATTCAGCTAATACATCCAAAATACACCGAGAACAATTGCCTGTTCAATCAAGTGAGCATTCCTTGAACATAATGTTTGGTTCCGCAGTCGAAATTGGGAGGCATACCTTTTCTGTCAAGATTTCATACTGAAGCAGTTCTTCCACAATCTTCTCCAGCACTAGACGGTTTTTATGAAGCATCAGTTTCGCCTTATCGTATGCCAAGTAGTAAATCTGTACAAAATTCTCATTTTGCGTCAAAAATTGAATTATTAATTTTCTAGTTTCACTTTCCTGATTTACAAGCAAATAATGTGAAAGTAAAACAAACTACCCGAATATTCACAGCTATGCCCAAAATTATTTGCAGTGCAGTACTCAAGCAACTGGCTTGGGGGAGCCAAAGGCATGCCATGTCATAATCATAGGAAAATGCAAGAACTATATCAATCTTTTTTTTTTTATTTTTTGTATTCAATTAGAAGAGATCACAATCCTAGAAAGGACTTGAGGATCAGAGATCTTGTCAGTCTAATAGATAAAGAAAGTGGGAAGGATATAATAGACTTCACAGTAAAACATAACAAAATAATTTCTAACTAATAAAGGAGTGTGGTCTGATTTATAATAAATTTAGCTAACTGTGATTTGATTAAATCTAGTAATGTGATTAATGAAGATAAATAAAGAATAGTAAAATACAATTACAATACAAGGAAGAGTATTTTACCTTTGCCCTATAAGAGACAATTTAGATATTACAACCTTGTGTCTCTCATCTCATCTTCTACATATGGAGCTTTTTCTTGATAATGAGTCTTGAGAATCTCACTGGTTTAGAGAAGATACAAGGACAACTAGTGTATTTTCTATTACTTCTGCATGATG